CGTCAGCCATGCTGATCATGACCTGTCCCGGTGACCCTGATCGCGCCTGACCTGCCTTCCGTTTCCACTACTCTCTCACACATACATACATTCTTCTCTTACATACACATATTTTCTTCAGACATACATGCATTCTATATATATATATGTACGTGAAAGGAGAATGTATTTGTGTGTGAGAATAGAAATGTATGCATGTGAAAGGAGAATGTAAGTATGTGAAAGCAAAAAAATATATGCATGTGTAAGGAGAATGTATGTGTGTGAGAGTGGAAATGTATGCATGTGAAAGGAGAATGTAAGTATGTGAAAGCAAAAAAATATATGCATGTGTAAGGAGAATGTATGTGTGTGAGAGTGGAAATGTATGCATGTGAAAGGAGAATGTAAGTGTGTGAGAGTGCCAGAATGAATTATGGCTTGTACGGCCCCTCATACCTTCCAGTGTTTACTCTTCCAAAAAAAAAAGTTCTTTGGGAATTATTGTTGTGATTAATTTACATGGCTATTCTTGGAAAAATGATAATGTTTGTCTAAAACACTGTGGCAGAAATCATGCATTCATGTCTAAATTTGGTCCGTTCAATCACATTGCACCTTCCACAGATGATTTGCATTAAACTGAAAATTCTCTTCTTATCTGACCAACCCTTGCCCTCACTGAGATTCTCATTTTGTGTGCGCGTGTGAACAGGAGCAGTCATCGCCCCGCGGGCCCGACTCTTGCCCCTGCGTCTGGGCTCTGCAGAGCTTCCCTCTGGTTCCTGTTGGCTTTGACACCGAGCTCTCTCTGCAGGGCAAAAACCTGGACATATTTGAGGTGATGCTCATGTGCCGCTTATCCCACCCCATCCATTGTGCCTGAGTCAATATGTTGGCCTTGACGTTTCATGGCTGTGCATTTTAAAAGGCCATTACTCCCCGGTGTTCAGGAGGGTCTGGGTGAACTCATTTATGATAATGCATGTGGAATGGGGAAGGGGGTTGGAGACTGCTCGTGATTAGCGTTTGATTGTGTGACATGCTGTGTGATATTTTAAACAGGATGAGGAAGATTATGCTTGCGTGCTGGTCATCGAAGGCCAGGAGCTGCGCTTGCCAGCCACGTTGGACCGCAGCAAAGAGACAGGGACGCATGTGTTCAAGTGTGCCGCTCATCAGGTGATATTAATAGCGTCCATTTATTCATTGCAGCATCAAATTACGCCACAGCCGCTGCAGTTAATATAGACTTGTGCGTGTGACGTCTGCACTGATAATAGCTGTAATTTATGACACCAGCCAGAAAAACACAGCAATTCAAACATGGATTTGTTGATGGTGCCACACATAATTTGTCTGCACCTGGCTGATTATACATTGATTTTGTGCGTGTGTGTTTAGTTTCGGTATTCAGGAAAGCAGTTTGAATATTCCGCTCCTGTATATCTGCAATGGGGGACGCAGCGTATAGACTCAGCACCACATCTCCGCTGTGAGTACCGTGACCATTTCTGCATGTTTTTTTCAGTGGTCTGATCTTCAAAAATCATAAAATTAACTCTTATTGTTATCAATGTACTTACTAATTTGCTTGACATAAATGCATGTAAAATATATCATTTTGAAAAAATAAATGGTTAATAAATATATATTAAAAAAAAAAATACATAAGGGATAATGTACATCCATCTGGTTGTTATGACAGAATAAACCCCAGAGGATGATCAGGACCCCAACATAAAGCAAATATTTAATTATTTAAAATATAATTGTTTAAGAATTATTCATTCTATATGGTGTATATATGTATACATAAATAAATATATATATATATATATATATACACCAGTTGTTTTTTAAAAACCAGACAGACAGACAAACTTCCACCATGTCTAAAAACCAGTGAATCACCCACAGCAACAAGTGAATCATTGAAGCAGCTAGTAACCGTTTTGTGTCTGTTGGTTGTGAGCTCACTGTGATCTGTGTTTCTGTGTAACAGTGCAGCTGTATGACTGCTCAGTGGGACAGTCCGACTGCAGCCAGTGTCGTGCGGTTGCTGCCAATTACGGATGTGTGTGGTGTGCCGATGAAACCCCCGGCTGTGTGTATAACCAATCCTGCACCAGTGGAACCATGGACACCTGTCCTCCTCCTCTAATTACTGAGGTACACATATGCACGGTCCAAAATTAAATTGTGTGGGTGAATTGAGAAAATGTATCACCAATCATGAAACTTATTTTGTGTTTTTTCCTTAAAGATGTATTTTGTTGGCAAGTCAATGGAATTAATTTAGCTTTAGTTTTTCTCTTGAGTATTTGTAGCAAACCATACAGCTAATTTTGTCATTTGCATAATCACAAACCTGTCAGTGTATCAGCTGTCACAAAACATCAAAATCATGGGTTTGGTTCCAAGGGAATGCATGAATTGGTAAAGCACTTTTTGATAAAAGCTTCTCCCGAATGTATAAATGTCAGTGTGAAGGCAAAAACTGTCCGAATAGTCACTGATCTTTTCTTTTTTGTAATAAGTGTACAGTTTGTGTTGAAGGATCTAAAGGATCTAGTTTTGAGTGTTCAGTAGCAATCTGTGTGTATGTGTAGCTTCAAATGCACCACCATACGTTTGTATTGTTTTATTTTCTCAATTTGCTTTCTTTAATTATCATTCATAATTAACCATTTCTTGAATAATATATATTTAATCATTTAATTATTCAACTAATTGATCATTTAATAATTTGTCATTTAAAAAATAAATTTTATATATTGTATTTTTATATACACATACGTATATAACAACATTTATATAACTTTTATATTTTATATTACGTATTATTTCGCTTTCAGTTGCAGTGCTTGTTGTTTAATCTGAAGATTTTTTTTTTCTTTTTAGAAATAAAGTTTTTTTTTTTTTATGGAATAATGTGAAGCAATTTGATATAACAACACTTGTTGGATTTGTGCCAAGTCCAACTGAGCATAAAAAAACCCAACAGAAATCATTCATTAAACCCTGTTTATATTTATCATCATATTGTTTCCCGCTTTCTACTCTTCCCTGCTTTGCTCTGTCAACCTTTGGGGCTGATAGAAGACAGTTAATACAGTTTTGGGTATCAGACAAAATGCAATGTTAACTGGTTTTGGGTATCAGAACAAACAGATATTTTCTGGAGAGACTGGGTCTAATATCTCTGGCCTGGAGTTGCAAAATAAATTTAGGCATAGTGTCTCTTTGATTTGATTCGCTCACATAGCTTTTGAAAGAATAAAAAGCTGTGAGGCTTAAACTATTGTTATTGCACTGCCATTTAAACCTATTATTGTTACTGAAAAATGGTCATTTCACTTACTTTGCAAACTAACCATTAGTCACATACAACGCTTGGCGGGTGCTAATTTTGGTCTTCAAACACATATTTATAAAAGACACTGTGTATTTTGTACACGTTGCAATTTGTGTTAAGTTCAATGTGCCAGATTCTATTAGAAAACAGTCAATTAAATGTTAAAGAGTCATTTTCTCAAACTTTTATCTGTGGGTAGGTTGAGCCGCTGACTGGGCCACTGGAGGGCGGCATCCTGCTGACTATCCAGGGATCGAATCTGGGCCAGAGCTTCCAGGACATCCAGGCAGGAGTGACGGTGGCAGGAGTGACCTGCACACCTCTGCCTGAGGCCTATCGCATTTCCAACAGGTACAGCTTCTCTTTTAAAATGACTGTTTTAGTGTGCCAAAGAAGATGACAAGTTAGCATCAGATTTCATGTGTGCACATTTCTGGTTTTGTTTTCAGCATTGTGTGTGAGCTCCAGGCCAGCGCAAATGTCACAGCCGGACCGGTCGTCATCACCGTCAGAGGTTCAGAGAAAGGAGAGTCCCCGCAGACGTTCTCATATCAGAATCCACAGCTGAGCAGGATTGTGCCGGAAAAAGGGCCTTTAGCTGGGGGCACGATGCTAACGGTCCATGGGACGCAGCTCCTGACGGGACAACGAACAGAACAAAGGAGCGACCAAATCACTGGCCTGCAGGCCTTCTTGGGCTCAAAGCCCTGTCGCATGTAAGCGCCAATAGAGAGCTGCAGTGTTGACGTAATTTTATAGGCCAACTCAGAAGTTAGCATCACCTTGGTTCATTGACAAAAAATTGAAAGCCTATTCCAAAATCCATTGACTTTGGGACGATGGAACCGGAAGTGCTAAAATATTAACTCGTTTATGGGTTTTGGCCTACAAAATACATCATCCCTGCAGTACTTTATATCATTTATTGACAGAAAATGCAAATGCATTTCACTAAAAAGATGCTGCAAGTCGCATTTGTCTAAGTTTTTTTTTCTTCTTTTTTTCTGTAAGCAATGAAGTGAGTGACACATGGCTGATTTGTCGCACCAGTCACTCCAACCAAACTGGAAGAGTGCCAGTCAAAGTAGTGTTTGGAAAAGCCGAGAGGATTTTGGATCGTGTTATTTTCAGCTATATGGAAGACCCAGTGATTACTGATGCAACACCTATGGAGAGTTTCTATGGGTATGTGCGCTCAAGTCTTAGTCACATAAAAATGACAATTTTGTCATCATTTACTCACCCTAATGTTGTTCCATCCCTGTGTGAGTTTCTTTATCCGAGCACAAAAGAAGATATTTTGAAGAATGTTGGTAACCAAATAGTTACTAGTAGCCATTGACTTCTATAATATAAAAAAATACTATGCAAGTCAATGGCTACCATCAACTCTTTGGTTACCAACATTCTTCAGAACATCATCTTTTGTGTTCAGAAGAAAGAAACTCGTACAGATGTAAATTGTTATAGTTATCTCATGTATTCTACATCTACATCATGAGATCATGTTCCTCTAATATTTTCATTGAAATTTAGGGGTGGGCGTCTTATATACGTGACCGGCCAAAACCTGAATGTCGTTCAGCAGCCGAAGATGTCAGTCTCTTATGAGCCTAGAGAGAGGTCAGAAGTCAGAAGACGTCGACACACCAACGTTTCTGTGAGGAATCCCTTGGTTATGGTAAAACATTCAGAAAACTAATTTCACAGATTTTTTTCAACCAATTTTACATATCAAACACAGAATTGGTTTTCAAAATTAATGCAAACAGGACTTATACATTTGATTCATTCTCACAGGTTCAAATATTAATTCAGAGACGGTTTAATCATTTACTTGACCAAATTTGAACTTGTTCACACTCCGAAAGCATGAAAGGAAATGATCTCGGAGGTGCAGTAGTGCATATGTTTCTTTTTGTCTTCAGATTCAGGAGTTGTGCACCAATGTGACCTCCGAGAGGATGATTTGCAAGAGCCCTGCGGTGGAGCCGAAGTCCAGGATAGTGCGAGTGTGGTTCGAGATGGACAATGTGCACATCGACTTTCCCACCATCAAGAACAAGCCGTTCACGTACCACCCAAACCCAGACTTATTCCAGCTCAACAGTGAGTCACGAGGAACACCTATCCGATTCAAACCTGGAGGAGTCCTGGCAGTAGAGGTGCTTGCATTTCTGTGCAATTCTGTTTTGTTGATTGTCCACCAGTGGAATTTTAGTGTTCTTTTTATACATATATACATGCGACAGCAAAGTATCACAAAATTTAGCTTGATGACAATGTATCAAAACATGGATGGCAAGTATCAATATTTTATTATATAAATATTTAATAGAAATAGAAATTCCCTCAAACATTTATTCACTAGCATATAGGCTGAATGAGCAAATTAATCCAAACAGATGAAAAGATCAAATCAGTCATTTGAAATTTTCTGTAAAACCGTGTGAGTGAATCAGTGGTACCGCGTCTCTCTCTTTCTAAATATGACGTGCAAATGGCATCAAACCACTGCAGGTTAACTGCATGCTTCAATACAAGACTTTCACTCACATGTACAGTAAATTAAGCGGTCTATAATTCCCTTGCACTGTTGATACAATGTAGTTTTCACTCTAGTGCTATGAGCGAGCGTCCATTCCTGTTATACTCGCTACAATTGGGATGATTGTTTATTTTGATGATTGGGATTGTTTATTGGAATGATTGTAAATTGTTATCAGGCAAAAAAAAAGAAACTACAGCTTGTATAAACAAAAATTATTTAATAAGAACAGTTCCTGTATTAATAGTGGGACAAATAGAACAGTCATAATGAAGAGTTGAGTGCCAGATATGTGTGTTTCAGTTAGGTGCCATTTAGTCTTTTTATGATGTTTCTGTAATTTTTTCCTTAGGTTTTGTTCTTTTAAATATTACTCATTTAGATTTTTTTTTATTAGGTATTTATTTATTTCCTGTTCCAATTTCAGTGTTTATTTAAGGAATACACTTTTTTCAGTTAAGCTGCCAAGGCAACATTTCTAAATTTAGATTTTCGTCTAATATTTTATTATATTATATGTATTATATTTTAATTTATTTCAGCTGTATTCAGTTAAGTAAATATTTTAATAGTTTTAGTTCCACTTTAAGTCCACTTGTGCACCAAAAACAGTAGTTAGGTTGCTGAGGATGTGTGTTTTGTGTCTGAAGGGTAAGGGACTGACACTGGCTATGAGCAGAGAGGAAGTTGTGGCCCGGCTCGGGGACAAAGAGTGTGATGTCAAGACTCTGGATAACACACACCTGTACTGCGAACCACCTGAGGAACAGCCTCTCGCCCTGGACGACAGTGACTTACCCACACTGAAGGTCAGTCTGTATCCAGTGTCATCTTTAGTTGTTACATGGCATGTTTTTTTTTTTTTAAGTTTTAAATATAACCAAAAGTTATTTTTATTCTGATGCAATTGTCAAATACAGTCTGACTAAGTGTAACATGACAAGTTTTGAGCATCACACAGATTTTCCAAGTGAATACTCCATGAAGTGACAAAATCGCAGCTAATCAGAATGTTTTTGATGTTTAATAGAGCACAGACTTATCAGACTTTGTTTTTTAAAAATGTTTTTCCTCAGGGATTTCAAAGAAATTCTTCAGAATTAGAACCATATTCCCTTAAAGTTACCAACTTAAACATTTTTCTTGAAAAATACTAATAATAACAGTTAAATGTAACTTTTAGCACACATTAAAATGAATATTGAATATGCTGCATTATAATAAAAATTATTTTAAATGCATTAGAATTCAAATTAGATTCACTTTTAAAACAATTTTAGTTTTTTTGCTTTATAGTTTTTTTTGTTTAGTTTTTTTATTTATTAATAAATAAAACAATTTTTTTTTTTAAATTTTTATATTATTTAGTCAAAATAGTATAAATAAGTAGTATAACATTTATTGGCCATAACATGAAAATAATTATTATAAAACAAACAAATAATTTTAATATTGTGCATCCCTTTCCATGAAGCATTGCAAATAACATTGAAAATTAAAATTGCATTTGCTTGTGTCTTCTTCAGAGCATATATCATCTCTACACAGCCTCAGAGCTCATAGTAGGTCTGTCTTGAATGGTTTATGCGTTATTGTTAAAATCATTTTCTCTGCGGTGAAAATGAGGTTTTTACTACCGACTGCGGCCTGGAACCCGTCTCTTTAAAAAGATGTAATTTATTGCTTTGTGCTGTGTTGTATCACACCTGCTTAGAATCGTGAGTGTCTTCATTTTGCGATCGCATGCTAACATCTATGTGTGTGTGTGTGTGTGTCACTCAGGTGTTAATGGGAAGCCTGCCGTTTGACTTGGGTCCAGTGCAGTATGACAATGATTTACACTCCTCGGTGCCTCTGGCAGCTCAGATCGGTCTTGCAGCGGGGGCCGCGGTGGTCGTTCTCATCGTGCTGGTTATCATTCTCATGTACAGGTAGAGTGAATTCAGATGGCAGATTCCTCGCCCTTCTGGGCTTGTCGTCATGACGATGAGCCGTGAACTCACATCCAGCACTCTAATGGTATCCATTTGTGGAGGGTAGTGCTCTAACCCTGTGTTTGCTCTCGCTCTCTGTTTGTAAAGGCGGAAGAGTAAACAAGCTCTGAGAGACTATAAAAAGGTTCTGGTGCAGCTGGAGACTCTGGAGATAAATGTTGGAGACCAGTGCAGGAAAGAGTTCACTGGTATGGCAACACTTTGTTCATCCATACAGTTTGTCTTAACTATAATATACCATGGTAAACATTTAAAATATATGTCATATATAATTATATGATAATTATAAAATATATAACTAATAATAAATTAATTAAATATTAAAATATTTTACAATGTTAAAAATATATACATAAATATTAAGTTTTTGTTTATTTTTATTACTTTTTTTCTTTTTAATTATAATTTTATTGTAGTAACATATTTGGGAAGGCGATATGGTTACCATGCTAAATGTTTGTTCATCAACTTTATTGAAACTGTTATTCTGCTAATAAAAGAAAATGACAGCTTGCACTAATGGCATGCACTTTTTATTCATGCAAATTGAGAGACACTTTTCGATTAATAATATCCATCACACGCACCATTAAACTGACTTCTTCCTGCCCTCCAGATCTGATGACGGAGATGATGGATTTGAGCAGTGATGTTGGGGGTCCTGGCATCCCCTTTCTGGATTACCGCACATATGCAGAGCGTGTTTTCTTCCCTGGCCAGAAGGGTGCGCCGCTGAGTCAGAATCTGGATTTGCCTGATTCTCGCAGACAGACGGTGGAGCAGGGCCTGGGTCAGCTCAACAACCTGCTCAACAACAGACTCTTCCTTATACGGGTCAGTGAAACGCCTTGTTTCCGCTGTCAGCTCGGCACTAGCTTCCTGTAGAGGAAAAGTGTAATTACAGTGTTTATGCCGCTGGCGTATTCAGCACGTCAGTGGCTGTTTTTGGAGCTGTTATTTCACCTCAAGGAGTAAACAAAAGATGAAAAAGAAAGCAAATGTAATATTCATTTTGCACTGAATGCAGCTGGATGCCTGTTTAGTGGTGAGAGGGTTTTTTATTATCTTTTTTGAGGAGGAAATCTCAGCCGCTATCTTCTTTCTTGATGCTCTTTATCTGCGTTTAAACTGCCAAACTGTCAGGCAGCAGCGCATAAACTTCAGCATTTTAAATATTTATCCATCGTCGCAGTCTGAGGCTTTGTAGATGTTTTACACCTGCAGTGTTTTGAAAGCTCAAGCTGTTTGATTGAAATTGGTCAAACTAGTGTGCTCTTGTAGTGCATTTTAGGCAACGTCTAATGGCACTAATGCTGGTAAACTCTCCTCTGGGTTCCTCTAGTTCATTCATACTCTGGAGGCACAGCAGAGTTTCTCGCAGAGGGACAGAGGTTACGTCGCGTCTCTTCTCACGATGGCCCTTCATGATAAGCTGGAATACTTCACGGATGTCATGAAGACCCTGCTGGGGGATCTAATGCAGCAATACGTGGCCAAAAACCCCAAACTCATGCTGCGCAGGTATTTTACATTCACTTTTGACTTATTTGGCATACATTTATTATTGTTATTTTACCCAAAACAACCTACAGTGCATTCAAGCATGTATATATGTGTGTGTGTGTGTGTGTGTGTGTATGTGTATGTATGTGTGTATATATATATATATATATATATATATATATATATATATATATATATATATAATATACTGTATGTGTGTGTGTGTGTATATATGTGTGTGTGTGTGTGTGTGTATGTATATATATTGTAATGTTTATTGTAATATGTAATGTATATTGTAATGTTTGTCCTCATAAAAGTAGATATATTTTTGAAGCTTTAACTTTCTAGTTTACCACAAAGCAGGTGGTAGTTCAGAAAACAATTGAATTATGCTGTATTGTAACTTTGTGTGGTTTTCAAGAACACGTTTCAATAATATTCAATAAGTAATAATAAGCAGACTAATAAGAGACTCCTAGCTTATGAAAATTAATTGCTTCTATTGATGTTTTACCTGTGGTCTTGAAGACTCCAGACAGAAATAATGTAACTAGGTTCTAGCTCAACTGAAATAAATACATTTCCAATGAGTGCATCATGTGTTTGTGTAAAACAAAACAACAAGCTGTCTGATCTGTCCTGATCTGATTATAGTAAATCTAATCTGAAGTCATATTCCACACATGTCGTCATCTGTAGGACAGAGACTGTTGTGGAGAAGATGCTGACCAACTGGATGTCCATCTGTCTCTACTCATTTCTTAAGGTATCAGAGCATGTGATGGCTTCAATTCTATGCATTTTCACAATAAACATATTTTAATTAAATTGTTTTAATTAAATAAGAATAAGAATTTTATTAAAATATATTACTTGTGGAAAAACAATCATGTATTTTATTATTTACGAGATGTATTTTTAATTATTATTATATATATTTTTTTAATAGTTTAATGAAATCATAATCTAAAAACTATTCAATATTTATTTATCTTTGGTGTATTTTCACCAGGAGGTTGCTGGTGAGCCTCTCTACAAGTTGTACAGGGCTATTAAATACCAGGTGGATAAAGGACCAGTAGATGCAGTGACGGGCAAAGCCAAACGCACTCTCAACGACAGCCACCTGCTCCGAGAGGACATTGACTACTGCTCAGTGGTGCGTCTCTGTAATACTTCCATCTCAATGCTATAAAAACACAACTCCTAAATGAATCAATCGAACAAGACCGGGTTTTTGATTCTCTCTCAGACTCTGACAGTGCTGGTGAAGAGCGGTGTGGAGGTCCAGCCCTGTCCTGTTAAAGTTCTGGACTCTGACACCATCACTCAGGTTAAAGATAAAATCCTGGACCAGATTTATAAAGGAGCACCATACTCCCAAAGACCAGCCGCAGACTCCCTGGACCTTGGTACGGTTTTGCTAGATATATCTAGACTAGTCACAACTATGTTCAATTTGTGTTAAAGAAAAACTGTTTTGTTTTCCATCAGAGTGGCGATCGGGCCAGGCGGGTCACCTGACTCTTTCTGATGATGATGTCACAGCCATCGTTCAGGGTCGCTGGAAACGGATCAACACCTTACAGCACTACAAGGTACAGCTGGACATTTTACTGTGTTTTATTTTGCATAGAAGACAAATGGGTTGGTTAGTTGATTTGTGGGTTGCTTGATTATAAGACTGACTGGTTGGTTAAGTGATTGCCTGGTTAGTTGGTTAGTTGATTTTGTGAGTTGGATGGTTGATTTTGTGAATTGATTGGTTGGTTGATTTTCTGAATTTATTGTTTGGTTGATTTTGTGAATATTTTTTGGTTCATTTTGTGAGTTGATTGGTTGGTTGATTTTCTGAATTTATTGTTTGGTTGATTTTCTGAATTGATTTTTTGGTTCATTTTGTGAGTTGATTGGTTGGTTGATTTTATGAATGTATTGTTTGGTTCATTTTCTGAATTATTTTTTTGGTTCATTTTGTGAGTTGATTGGTTGGTTGATTTTCTGAATGTATTGTTTGGTTCATTTTCTGAATTTCTTGTTTGGTTGATTATGAATTTATTTTTTGGTTGATTTTGTGAGTCAGTTGATCGATTTTGTTGTTCTATTTTGTGAGTTGCTTGTTTGTTTGATTTTGTGAGTTGGTTGGTTAGTTGATTTAGCTCTAAGCCTCTCTCTGTTCTCTGATCAGGTGCCTGATGAGGCCACTGTGGCTCTCATCCCTCGTTCCCAGAGTTCTCTTGGAGTAAATCAGTTCTATCAGACTGGAGAGAGTAAGCTTAATTATTTTTGCTCAATCAGAAGTAAATGGCCATCTCTTTTACACTCTATTCACTTCATTACTGACCACCAGAAAGCAAAAAATTATAAATTTCTTCTTGATATCTGGTCTTGCTGTAGAAACTCCCATGCTGGAGGGAGAGGAGGAGGAAGGTCTTCGTCTATGGCATCTGGTGAAGCCGAGCGAGGACCCCGAGATCCCCAAACACAGGAAGAGCAGCATGAGAGAGAGGGAGCGGGCAAAAGCCATTCCTGAGATCTACCTTACACGACTGCTTTCTATGAAGGTACGTGAGATGTGATCTTTAATACAGCACACGCCACATCAAACCAATCATGTTTGTTTGAGATCCGTCTTCTGCTGCTGACTGTCAGTGTGATTGAAAGCTGCTCTGTGTTTACAAATGTGTATCTTTAGGGCACTCTGCAGAAGTTTGTAGATGATGTCTTTGTAGCCATACTGAGTAGGAAACGGCCTCCACCCATCGCTGTCAGATTCTTCTTTGACTTCCTGGACGACATGGCGGAAAAACACGGGATTGATGACCCAGAGACCGTTCACATATGGAAAACAAACAGGTCAGTGCTATTTTCATTGAAAATTAATTGGGCAGAAAGTGTGGAACCCTGATGTTTCTCTGTTCATTAAATTGAATGTTCATTTAAATGCACTTTTGCCTTCCCTCCGCCCTCAGTTTACCTTTGCGTTTCTGGGTCAACATCTTGAAGAATCCTCAGTTCGTCTTTGACGTGCAGGTGACGGATAGCGTGGATGCCGTCCTTTCCGTTATCGCACAGACCTTCATTGATTCCTGCACTACATCCGAGCACAAAGTGGGCCGGGTCAGTACAGCAATTAACCTCTTGACCTCTCTAGCTGCGACCTCATTATGGTGAGAGTGTGCATGTAGAGCGAGAAGATGAACAATGGCAGGAAAGGGAGAAAGGGAAATAAGAAAAAGCTGCAAGTTGCTGTAGCATTGAAAGAGCTCATTGTCGTCTGTCTTGTCCTTCAGGATTCTCCAGTGAATAAGCTGTTGTACGCACGAGAAATCCCACGATACAAGCAGCTGGTGGAGAGGTGAGAAAATTTGAACCTTATATAGCAGTGCCGCCTTTTGCAAACACATCTATTAGCACTGAAATGGATAGAGGAGGTTCATGATATTCAGTGCTATAAAGCTTCTTCCTCTCCTGCAGGTACTACAGTGATATTCATAACGCCGTGTCTGGCTGTTACCAGGAAATGAATTCAACCCTCACAGAGCTGTCAGGGGTGAGACTGAATTTTATTCTGATTTTACATTTTAGCACACACCAGCGTCCAAAAGTATTAAACCACATTGAGATTCTGGGTGTCTGAATGTCTAGTTTAAGGGTCAACCACTTGACACTCATTCATTGTCTTATTAATTTATTCAAACATACATTTGCAATTCACATAATTTGCAATTCACACATGCAGCGACTTGATTAGTCCTCTTTTGTGATGAGTGTTTTTAATTTCTGAAATAGAATTATTTATTTATTCATTGATCGGGTTGTAAAATGTGGTGTGTACCTTTTTGAATTTGAAATGGTAAATTATTAAAATCATTTAATTGGTAGTACATGATTTTTGTAAAAAATACAAATCATGTAGTGTGACAATTTTTTTTATTAATAATTGTAAAATAAAAATATATATTTTGAATAAATAGTACATGATATTTAAAAGTCCTGTGGCATGTTTTTTAATCCTTTTAAAATATTTAAAATATTTCAAATATTTTTAATTAATAATTAATTATATTTGTTCAAAAGTAATTGTCTTGTGGTTTCCAATTCATTTTAAAGGTAATAATTGCAAAATATATTTTAAATATTTATTTGAAAAAATGTCATGACATTTTTTAAAATAAATATGTTGAATTAATAATTGTAAAGTATTAAAAATATTTTTTAATTCATGATATTAGTGTAAAAACACCATGTCAATGTTATGTGACAATTAAAATTAATAATTGTCAAAAATTAAGCATATTTTGTAAAATGAAAATTTTTGTTTGTTAAAAAAACTTCTTACCTTGAAAAATATATATTTAATTGTTGTACTAGTATTTTATGTATGAGGAAAATATGCAGGTTTTGCATTTTTATTAAGGTTTTCCTTCCTTTTTAAAAGATTTAGAATTTTCTTTATCATGGACACTTAAACCTTCTATTTTAAGATTTTGATGACTGTCTGTTTTTAGAGCTTTGCATCCGAGATGAACAGTTTGGTGGCATTGCATGAGCTGTACAAGTATATCAACAAATACTACGATCAGGTCAGTATGGGATTGATATAAGCTTCTTATGATGTTTGTGCTAGAGCAAATTAAAATACTCCTTTATATTGTGTTGTATGCAGATTATCATGTCTCTGGAAGAAGACGCTGCGGGTCAGAAGATGCAGCTGGCGTATCGGCTTCAGCAGGTTGCCGCCCTGGTGGAGAATAAAGTCACTGACCTTTAGGCTTTGACCTTTCACCTTGTCATCTAAGCTCAAAAGCTGCAAGTTGCTGTAGCATTGAAAGAGCTCATTGTCGTCTGTCTTGTCCTTCAGGATTCTCCAGTGAATAAGCTGTTGTACGCACGAGAAATCCCACGATACAAGCAGCTGGTGGAGAGGTGAGAAAATTTGAACCTTATATAGCAGTGCCGCCTTTTGCAAACACATCTATTAGCACTGAAATGGATAGAGGAGGTTCATGATATTCAGTGCTATAAAGCTTCTTCCTCTCCTGCAGGTACTACAGTGATATTCATAACGCCGTGTCTGGCTGTTACCAGGAAATGAATTCAACCCTCACAGAGCTGTCAGGGGTGAGACTGAATTTTATTCTGATTTTACATTTTAGCACACACCAGCGTCCAAAAGTATTAAACCACATTGAGATTCTGGGTGTCTGAATGTCTAGTTTAAGGGTCAACCACTTGACACTCATTCATTGTCTTATTAATTTATTCAAACATACATTTGCAATTCACACATGCAGCGACTTGATTAGTCCTCTTTTGTGATGAGTGTTTTTAATTTCTGAAATAGAATTATTTATTTATTCATTGATCGGGTTGTAAAATGTGGTGTGTACCTTTTTGAATTTGAAATGGTAAATTATTAAAATCATTTAATTGGTAGTACATGATTTTTGTAAAAAATACAAATCATGTAGTGTGACAATTTTTTTTATTAATAATTGTAAAATAAAAATATATATTTTGAATAAATAGTACATGATATTTAAAAGTCCTGTGGCATGTTTTTTAATCCTTTTAAAATATTTAAAATATTTCAAATATTTTTAATTAATAATTAATTATATTTGTTCAAAAGTAATTGTCTTGTGGTTTCCAATTCATTTTAAAGGTAATAATTGCAAAATATATTTTAAATATTTATTTGAAAAAATGTCATGACATTTTTTAAAATAAATATGTTGAATTAATAATTGTAAAGTATTAAAAATATTTTTTAATTCATGATATTAGTGTAAAAACACCATGTCAATGTTATGTGACAATTAAAATTAATAATTGTCAAAAATTAAGCATATTTTGTAAAATGAAAATTTTTGTTTGTTAAAAAAACTTCTTACCTTGAAAAATATATATTTAATTGTTGTACTAGTATTTTATGTATGAGGAAAATATGCAGGTTTTGCATTTTTATTAAGGTTTTCCTTCCTTTTTAAAAGATTTAGAATTTTCTTTATCATGGACACTTAAACCTTCTATTTTAAGATTTTGATGACTGTCTGTTTTTAGAGCTTTGCATCCGAGATGAACAGTTTGGTGGCATTGCATGAGCTGTACAAGTATATCAACAAATACTACGATCAGGTCAGTATGGGATTGATATAAGCTTCTTATGATGTTTGTGCTAGAGCAAATTAAAATACTCCTTTATATTGTGTTGTATGCAGATTATCATGTCTCTGGAAGAAGACGCTGCGGGTCAGAAGATGCAGCTGGCGTATCGGCTTCAGCAGGTTGCCGCCCTGGTGGAGAATAAAGTCACTGACCTTTAGGCTTTGACCTTTCACCTTGTCATCTAAGCTCAATAATAATCACAATAATCGTCTTATCTCATGTGATCGGCTGATGAAATGCAACCACTACGCCAAACACTTGTGTGCTTCCACAACCGTTCACATAAACTCCCTGCATATTCTTAACAAAAGGGAACAGGAAATGAAGTAATGATCACATTCTTCCGATAAAACCTTAATGGGAGTTTTATTGGAGAAGGATTGCTTTTCAGACTGAGGCTCTGAACAATTCACAGGAGTATTGACCGACAGGAAGTGTGTGTGTGTGTGTGTGTGCATGGTTAATTGTGATGTGCTTGTCTGAAAGGCTCTGCTGTATATATGAAGTTTACCTAATTCAAATTTTAATGACACTACTGAAGCAGCTCTCACATATTGTGACATGCTGAGACACATTTTATACCATTTCTATTTCCATTCAAGTGATCACATCCACTGTATGGATGATCTTTCATGAACTGATTCAACGAAACTGTACAGTCATGTCAGCACTGCGGACAAATCCCACATTTACTTCTACTGTACGTGGAGTATTTCATTCCAGGTTTAGAAATGTTCTACTCCTCCACAATCAAAGCCCAAACTCATAGACTGTCCTTGGCTGTGTGGTGTTAACTTTTTATACTAACATTTCTACATTAGTATTGCAGATCAAAACAAGTATTAAGCTTTTACTGGGACTGTGGAGTAAGTCTATGCACACAAGTGCCATAAGTAACAAGAGCACAATATTTGTGTGCACGTTATTGTGTAGCTTTAGGTGTGCATGCAAAAAAGAAAAGACTGTGTCGCAGTTTTCAGGTTTTCCATTGTTGTTAGTATCGCAAATATCTGGAATTTCTCAAAGTTGTTAAATGTGATCATCTGAATTTAGTTTGTAGTACCATAAGCTGATTAACTTTACTTCATCCAGCAGATTTCTGATAGATCTCGATAAAATATGGGTCTGGGTCACATTTCACTGCCAAATATACAGATAAAGAATAAATTATATTTTGCACAATATACCTTATTCTTAAACTTCAACTAATATATCATTGTTTATTCTTTTTCTATTAATAGGCTTTTGCATTGCTTCTTAAATCTTATAAAGATGTTGTAATGCACAGCATCTTTCAATTCAAGTTTATTTTTTGATTTAGGCATGAAATAAATCCAAGATCTTCGCAGGTTTTGTGAGATTCACCCACACTTAAAGTAAATGGCGTTGATTTCCTAATGCCTGCTTTGTATTTAATGGCAAAAGCGAGAACAATTCAAGATTCAATCTCAAGCGTTTTGAGTCTCTGATTAAATTGCAATGCAGCTGGGTTGGCCAGTCCCTTGGGAGGTATTGACACAAAACTGGGACAGTTTGGGTCATTGGATTTCGAGTTGGCAAATGGAGAATAGCATCTTTATTCCCTTTGTTCCAATGATTAGAAAAGCAGCAGTCGGATTGAGAGTTGTGAACATTAAACACTGAATAGAAACTAACTATTGTAAATAATGCTTATTTATACATGACCGCCAATGTGCCTTCTTTGTTACTTTTTATAATGTCTACCGATTTAAGTAAACATGCTTGACATTACTTGCCAAATGGAAGAAAAGATGAACTGCGGCACAACTGTTGCCTGTTGTGAAGATCATACAGGGCTTTTAGTCTCTGAACTGCAGTGAGTCTCAGGATTATAGCTGTCGATCTCAATGGTTTCAGTATAAATCCATGTGTAGCTCAGTCATTTCTAGTTTGCCCTTTCGGGCTCATTTCCTGGAGCGATCTGTATTCACCTTGTTGTCACAGGTGATGATGGTGTAATTTTTTTGTGCATCTGTTCTTTTTAGCTTCTCAAAACGGTCATGATTTGTTTTTCGCCCCAAGGCACTTTGTGTTTACATTTTGGCTCACCCACAATGTCTAATTATTTTGTAGTTTGATCATGAAGCTGACGTCATATGCTTTAACACAATCCCTTTTGTGTATAGAACTGAAAATAATGAATGCACTGCTATCTGGACATCTCAAATGTATTTTTGAAGGCTTCCCTGTTCCTGCGTTTATTTATGTGATTTTGAGCTATTACGCTTCATCATACTAATGTATGCACAGAGCTGTGTTTTAAAAATGGGAAACGTATTAGTTTGCTCATCCTGTGTATGTTTATTAGCCTGTTGTTGGATGTGTTTGGCCTCTTGGTGTATTTTTTGATTATTATAGGCTGATGCATGCTTGAGATTTGATTGGATTTTCTGATTGGGGTGCTTTATGAGAGGTTCACTCGATGGACTGCGTTATAAATGTGCATGACTCTCATATGAACACAGAAGAAAGCGTGTGTGTATGCATGAGAGTTTGTAAGTAATTGTAGCGCTTCGTACATGACGGTGAGGTTTTTTGGCGAATCTCCTGTTATGTACAGTTTTCTCTAAGAGAATCCTGCGAAACCTTCTTTTTGTACAGTCTTGCGATTTTCCTGTTTTGCCAGTTGTGTGGAATATGGCTTTGTATCTTTGCAGATAAACAATTCAGACCATTGTTTAGAGAATTGGTGGTGTATACGGAGCCCTTGCCCGGCACCGAGTTTTACACAACTTTTATACAAGGGTAAAAAAATAATATATGGTAATTTTCTAATGAAGTTGGGGTTAAAAGAGAGCTTAAACCCAGTCTAAAGACATTACTCTTTTGTATTTGTTTTGTGTATAGTTTGCTAACAATTGTGTATATGTGCCTGTACATATTGTGAAGAGGACTTGTTTTTTTTGTTTTTTGATTTTGTTTTTCAACAGACTTACTCTCTCCATTCAGGAGAAATTGGGAGCCAAAATGTTGAAATGAGTGAAATGGAAATTTGTATCTGGAAAAAATAAAGCTATAATTTTAACAATGAAGATGTTGTCTACTGTTTTAGATTTTTGATATTTGTAGACAGCAGAACAAAGGTGTTCAGGACAGTATTAATCGAATGGATACATCTCCTGTGGGCTGAATGACTTTAACTGACATGTTGGAGTCAATACCAAAACAGGATGATTTTTGTTTAAATTCTGAACCATTTTTATGAAAATTATATCACGGTTTCTTGCTTCAGAACCTAGGGAATAGGTATGATTTTGGCATTGGTGGGGACATAACAACAGACATTTAATTATTTGATCAAAATTAGTATTCAACCTATGTCCTCTGTAAGGCAAAAAAAACATGGTTACTATAGTTAAACCAAGGCTACACTAACCATAATTTAACCATGGTATTTTTAATAAAACTGTGTAAAAAAAAAAAAAAAAAAAGACATGGTAACTACAATTTTACTATTGTAAAACCACAGTTTTTTTTTTCTTAATTGATTTTGTATACCTTCTTTTTTGATGTACTGTTTAATAAAAAAGAAATCCGAAAAAAATATTGTCGATATGCACACCGAAGTCTAGATCTGAATCAAAAGATTCAATTCACAAAATGATTTGCGAATCCGCTCTGAAGTTCCGATCTAAATAAAATGATTCATGCTCCGAAGTTCCGATTTGAATTAAATTGTGATTCAATTGGAGCGCTTCGAAACAGTGAATCATTTTGCGACACAATGATTAGGAGTTTTGAAAAGCTCTGTTTCAACCATTAAGCACATTAAATGCTTTTTAAAATCATTACAAGCGATGTTGAAATTGGAAAATGAATGGCTTAGCTTAATTCACTATACAGTATTTTAAATAGCCTAGATTGACCACTGCCGTTCAGTTGGTGACAGTTCAATAGAAAATCAGTTGAAAGCATCCAGTAATCTCATACCATTGAAGTGAATGTTAAATTTATCAGTATATATTGTAAGAAATATTTGAGAAATTGTTTTATCTGATTGTATTAATCTATATAGAGTGATAGTCAATGTAAAAAGAGCAAATGGGAGAAGCAGATGAACACAAAACAGCAACATAAAGATAAAGAGGGTAAATTTTACCATTCAACAGAACTGTGCACATATGATTTAAACACTTCAGCTACCTTATACTGTATGCTCTTTATGGAAGAGTACGGAAGAGGATTAGGGCCAAGGAATAATAAAAAAAATAAAACCATCTTGAAATTAAAGTTTAATTAATGTTAAAGTTAAATTTCGAGAAAAAACGTTACCTTTCGAGAAGAAAAGTCGAAATAAAATTGAGAATAAACTTGTTAAATTATGAGAAGAAAGTTAAGTTTCGAGAAGAAAAGTCGAAATAAAATTGAGAATAAACTTGTTAAATTATGAGAAGAAAGTTAAGTTTCGAGAAAAGTCGAAATAAAATGTTGAGAATAAATTCATTAAATTACAAGAAAAAAATGGTTAACTTTCGAGAAACAAAGTGGTTACATTTCGAGAAGTCAAAAAATGTTGAGAATAAACTTGTTAAATTATGAGAAAAAAGTTGTTACGTTTCGAGAAGACTAATTTTTAGAAAAAAAAGTCTAAATAAAATGTTGAGAATAAATTTATTAAATTACAAAAAAAAAGTTGTGAACTTTCGAGAAAAAAAGTCGTTACATTTCGAGAAGTCAAAATAAAATGTTGAGAATGTTAACAATTTTTTCTTGTAATTTAATGAGTTTATTCTCAACATTTTATTTGGACTTTTTCTTGAAATTTAATGACTTTTTTCTTGAAATTTAACGACTTTTTTCTTGAAATGTAACGACTTTTTTCTCGAAATTTAACAAGTTTTTTCTTGTAATTTAATGAGTTTATTCTCAACATTTTATTTGGACTTTTTCTTGAAATTTAATGACTTTTTTCTTGAAATTTAACAACTTTTTTCTTGAAATTTAACGACTTTTTTCTTGAAATGTAACGACTTTTTTCTCGAAATTTAACAACTTTTTTTCTTGTAATTTAATGAGTTTATTCTCAACATTTTATTTTGACTTTTTCTTGAAATTTAATGACTTTTTTCTTGAAATTTAACAACTTTTTTCTTGAAATTTAACGACTTTTTTCTTGAAATGTAACGACTTTTTTCTCGAAATTTAACAACTTTTTTTCTTGTAATTTAATGAGTTTATTCTCAACATTTTATTTTGACTTTTTCTTGAAATGTAACGACTTTTTTCTCGAAATTTAACAACTTTTTTCTCGAAATTTAACAACTTTTTTCTCGCAGTTTAACGAGTTGTTTCTCGAAATTTAGCGACTTGTCTCTCGTAATTTAACAAGTTTATTCTCAACATTTTATTTGGACTTTTTTCTCAAAATTTAACAACTTCTTGATGGTAATTTAATGAGTTTATACTCAACCTGTTATTTCGACTTTTTCCTCGAAATTTAACGATTTTAAACTCGAGATGGTTTAAATTTTTACATTTTTTTTATTTCTTGGCCCTAATCCTCTTCCGTAGGATACTCCGCCCATAAATGTACATCCTTGAAAGCACACAGTTTTCTAGCGTGTTTCTTTAACTTCTCAGGTAATATCAATGGTATGACCTATTTCAGATGGGCCTAAATTACAACAACAATGGTTACATAGGCACACATATAGGCCTATTTAATTGTTTGATCAAAATGATTGCTAAAGATAATTTAGTAGTCGCTGGATATTGGTAGGGACATAACTACTAAATTATATGCCCTTGATTGATGAGCAAGTGATGTAGCCTAATACATTTCTCTAAATATGTTCTGATGAAGAAACAAACTCGTCTACATCTCTCATTTTTTGACAATGTCAGGCTGGCCGCATTTCACCCAAAAAATGAAAGTGAACAATTTCAGGCTGACATATTAGCAGAAATAACAAAAATAATTTTTTGATTCCGAACAATTTTCAGGAAAATTGTGACAATTTCTGGCTTCAGCTTAGAAAAAAACACGACAATTTCCATGTTCTGTTTCACTCGCATGAAATAAGATAACGCTTTAATGCCTTAGGTGGAAAAATATATTTTGCTAGACATTTAGCATGCCTAATGTTCAGAAAATATGATGTCCTCGTGCAGTCCCATTTCAATCGCGCGAGCTGCTGTCTATACGGCGCGGTCTGGGTGCGCATGCGCAGAACCAACTGGAGCGAATGTGCGTGAGGTGACAGCTGTCCCGATGATATCGATGAACGGTGAGAGTGTTTTCATTAAATAACAGCCAAACGGCCCTAAACATGTTAGTGTCTGTGGATGTGTTATGTGTCTTGAGGATAAATACAACAATGTCGGAGGGTTAAAATGACGCTTGTTTTGATGACTAACGTTAGAGCCCGTGTTAGCGTTAAAGCTAAGCGTGAGCACGTTTAGAGGATCTAATGTTTGGATTCACACTGATTGTTTGAATTATTCGGTTGGTTATTGATAAATGCATGGGATTAATAGAGTCATGTAGGCTTTTGGCGATGTGATATCCTCAAATTGTTGGTGGACTGTCCTCCATTAGTTGCTCATGTATAGTGAATTGGGGGTGGGGGTGCCTATAACAGCATGTCTAATATGTATTATGTTGTTTATGATTTTCTCTCTGATGCATGGCAGTATCCAGCAGCGACAATAGCCTTCCCCAGAACAGCCACGGCAAAAAGCAGAAGAAGAAAAACAAGAAGCACCGCAAAGCAGCGGCAGCAGCAGTGGAGATCTCTAGTTTGGAGCTGGGGTGAGTGTGTCTAACTGCAGGATCCAGATCTGGGTTTCTGCTCTGTGAGATGCTGCTAAAAATATATATGAGGGTGGCCATGGGAGTCACTTCTCCAGATAAGCATGTTGACTCATGGCCCTCCCTCCCAGTCCATGCATGTGGGACCTATTTTAACACATCCCTGGAAAAATCGTAACAATTCACATTAGGTAAATATTGCACATACGTGCATCATGCATAGGAACCACAGATTTTGCACAGATGTTATGCAGAATTCTGATTTTCCCACATTTATTCATTGAGTACTCACTGAACTTTAGTACAAACGAATATGGTCAAATAAGGAGAAATGCAAGTGATTAAATGACATTAGCAGTGCTGCGATACAAAATTTCAGAAGTAGGCCAGAATAGCATGCAGATGTGTATGTGCTTCCCCTATGTAAATATCACGTGCTCTTAGTATCGTATTCTAAGAAGACCATCAGCTTTCATTATTGTTTATGTTATGTAACACAGGCAGAAAATGACACGCTTTTAATGCTATTAAATTTCCAGTAATTTCCATGAATATTGAATAATTATGTATTGTTTTTATACTATTTTATTGATAGAGAAATATCAGATTGATTATTCAGACAATATTTTGAGATATAACTTAGTCTTGTGGAAAATGCAAAAATGTTTTCAAATGTGTGTTAATTTATTTTGAGTAAATATTGTGTGAATATGCATTTTTATTTCCCCCAAAATTATTAGGTGTCGGTAAAATGTGCAGCATTCGATCAATAGTGAGTCAAAGGAATCCAATTAGTGAACTAATCACTTAAAAAACAAAACTGATGTATTTCTCTGGCCCTGTCTTCCTAAACCAGTCTAAACCTTGACACTTGTTTTGGGTAATAAAAATGAAATGAGACAATGTAGTGTTTGCAATGTAAGGTCAGACTGATATGTTGATGGCAATGATGAAAAAATATGATGCATAATTTCTTGCTATAGATTGTAAAAAAAAAAAACATGAGAATTTACATTTTATATGTATATATAGTATATTATATTATAATAAAATGTAATTTGATAGTTTTTCCACTTTTTTATTTTTTGTAAGTGACTAATAATAAATGTGCTACATGCCTAAAAATTAAGTAACTAAATATTGAAAAAAATATTATTATTATATATAATCACTGCATTCTGTCTTCCCAGATGTCTGAACGTTCTTGTGCTTTACAGTGTGTGTGCATAACATATTATATGTTTATGTTAGCCATTCTATTGGCAACCCTGCTCTCTAGAT